GGTGAGATCGTTTATTGGCCTTGTAAATTACTATCATAAATTTGTACCAAATCCAGCAGAAATTTTGTCTCCTTTCTATGATTTGCTTAAAGTTAACAACAGATTCGTTTGTTCTGAAAAATGTCAAAGAGCGTTTAGAAGAATAAAAGAAATCATTAGTTCTGATAACTGTATTGTACACTTTGATCCAAATCTACCCATTATAGTTACCATAGATGCAAGTGAAAATGGAATAGCCGGTACTCTGAGCCACATGATAGATGGAGAGGAACGTACAGTGGCATGTGTATCTCGGACACTACCACCAAGTGTAAGGAAAATGAGTACAATTATGAAGGAAGCCCTGGCTATTTATTTCAGTGTAGATAAGTACTACTATTACTTGTGTGCAATACATTTTTTACTCTGAAGAGTAACCACAAGCCATTGCTGGCCATATTCGGAGAGCATAGAGGCATTTCCCAAATGTCTGCCAACAAATTGATGCGATGGGGAATCATTTTGTCATCTTTCAGGTACAAAATCGAATACATTAAAGGTAGAAATAATATTGTCAACCCTACATGGGACCACGGGCTATAACCAAATTCAAAACACTAAACCACGGGTTATAACAAATAACTGCAACTAAGCAAGAAAACACAAATTATCCTAATCATAGTCAGCAAATATTGGATATAAAAGCCCGGGCCAAACTATGGCAAATTAGTCGTGTCTCAGCGCTTCGCTGCAATCAGTAGGTGTTAAGAGACGACTCAAAGTTGGGGAACTATCTGGACTGATAAAGTTAATACGCTATCGTATCTCTATCAGGGCAGGTACTCCCTGACGCCCCAGGCTTTGACCTACAGGAAAATCTAGAAAGCCTTTTCATCAATCATTAATCATTTAATTTGAAAAATGACTTGCACCGTTTAATAATCAACGTTTAGCGAACCTTAAACATTAATTGAACTAAACGTCCAATTTTTGGTGATTAAAACATCGATTAGACTATTCGTACTTTTCAACGTCAATCCATTTGTTGGTTTTTTCTTTTTATTGTTCCATTGCTTTTACTGAATATTCTAAATTAAATTAAAATGGATTATGATTTCGATTTCCGACGACGATATGTTTTCAAATGACGATCTTGATCTTCTGGACATTATTAGGACTGTTCCAACTTCCAACCTAGCAAAAAAACGCCCCAAGAACTTATTTGGAACCATTCTGTATACACATTTCGGATTCTACGCACAAATTTTACGTTTTGCGCAGAATCCTGGCGGTAAAATGAACGGTTCTCTGCTGGGTTGGAACAAAGCTATGGGGGTCGGATTTCTCTGGAAGGTTTCCTAGAGAAAAACCATTTTCAAGAGCTGGATAACCTGAAATTTTTCAGATATTCTCGGTTGATGAAAAATACAGTTTTGTATTTGCTGGAACTGATAGGGGATCTACTTAATTGGTTTTATTTTGTCTTGATTCTTCAAATTTCACAATTTTTGTTAAAATGCATGCAGAAAATGAATATTGAATTGAAAAAACACCAGAGTTCAGTCAGGAGGTCCTGACGCACACCGCAAAAAATAACACGACAAAAAATTTACAAGAACCCGGAAAACTTTGCTAGTCAATTTGTTTGACAGTTTGACATTGTCAGACATAAACTTGTGGTTATAAATGTGCCTTTAAGCATTGTGAAGTTAGCCAAACAGAAGAATATTACGCTGTTGCCAAGTACTTTCTCCGTTTACCTAAACACTGTTTAGTTCTAGACGGTGCAAATCACAAATATATAAACGTTGATTAAAAACAAATCATTGATTAGCTAATCACTGTTTACGGCAAAGACGGAACAAACGGGCACTAGCTTCACAAGAGAGATTATTCTTGTCGATTGTAATTTGTAATGTATACTTGTATGTAAATTAGAGTTTAGGATCAAGCTGTGATATTAGAGAGGTGGTATTTTTGTAAATAATTTAAGGACCAAGTCCATGAGATTGTATTTATTGCAAACTCAATGACCAAGCCCATGAGGCAGTAGGAAGCTCAAGTATTCAGATATGTTAATGGGGGCACGAATTTGGTAGGTTAAATTGATTTAATTTAATTCTCTAATTTTCACTGTAAACATAAAGTTCAAGTGGTCGAAACATAATGTGTGCATATTGGAGGCGGATCTGGGACAGTTGTGGAGAGCAATGCAATTATCAAAAGAAACGTTCACTCTAAGAAAAGCATTGCTTTCTAGTCACATCTTTACATAAAGGAGTAGTGATTTGCCGGTATCGGGTGCGCAGGATGTGAACCTATACTCACCTGGAGCCTCCTTAAGGACGTACATGTAACTTCTCCACTTACATAATTGGGTAATGTTTTAACTTGGTGTCCATATACAGAGGTCTCAAATTAAGTGTGGGGGTGTTGAATATGTAACAACTGTGCCATAGTATATCTTGAGAAATGCGCATGCGATGCCGTATAACCCGAAAGGATGATCACCGAGCAGTCGGTAACTAGCATTCAAGTTTAATGTCCAATATTCAGGGTGCATGTCTCTCTTTTAAAGAACTGTCATATCTGTCCAATGTAGAAAATAACTGGTGAGATAAAGCTTAATAAATCGTTTATTTAAATTTCGGGAGTCTCATTTTGAAAGAAACACTAAACACTCCACATAAACATAACTTGGAAGCCATCTGTCTGCGAATGCAACTATTGACGCTGAAATCCATCATCGCTTGAGGTGTGCTAGAGCGGATTTCCTCAATTACTCGTCTTTTTTTTCGTACAACACGAGAGCTGATGGCTCTACAGGATTCCGCTTGTGATTAAATTAAAGAAAAATAACTGCTACAAAACTTCAGTTCTTATGACTTTTCTCGTATGATGAGTATTTTCGCCGATATCCTGTTCAGATGATGGGTAAAACTAGAATATCGAACTTTTTGAGAAAAATAGCCAATATAATATGTGCTTCGGGATATCATAAACTTACAGAGCTGCGGTAAAAAAAAAATTCTACTTTAAAAGTATACTACGAGACTTTTTCCGTATAGCCTGCATTTTTTAGGCTATAAGCCAAAAGGAAGGAAACAAGTTTGAGCACCATGCACTTTCGAAGCCGCAAACTTGGATTTACACTATTGGTATCTATCCTAACAACATTCCAAAAAATCAGAACAGTGCAATTTTTTGCGACTTAACGCGATTTCTATGTTTTCGGTGAGTGACCTATATTTATACTATTCGCTACGTGAACGCGAATAAAACACCGAAAACCCCTAGAACTATGGGCAAAACCGATGGTTATGAGAAAAACTGAACTCACTATAGGATCGTACTGCTTCTGATCGGAATCGAGGGTGCCGTGTGCGGGCCCATAAAGATGTGGTGTCGGTATAAGCATGAGTATCCTGCCGAGAACTTGTCCAGTATGGAACCAACTCGACAGGAATCCACCAGGCTTCCAAAATACTGGAATTTGAATGCAGGCTTACCTAGAATTTCCCTATCTATTTAATTAACAGAAACTACTCCAAGAACGTCAAAACGGAATGTTCAAAGTCAGGTTACCAAAAATGACTTAAAATATTTCATGATCTGAGCAAATTCTTTTAGAGATGGTCTGTCTCCCCATCAAAGAAATTTGAGTTATTGTGGCCTATGTAAGTAGGCTCGGTACCAGCAGTTCCGACAGAAAGCAGCTCGCAGCGAGTCCTCGACGTAACAGCGGCAGGAGGGTGGTGTGATTTTCATCTGATTTTAAAAGACTGTCTTAAGGATTTGTATGTTTTTTCAATGTAGATACGAAGTACCTTTTGGGCACAATGGAAACAATCAGATTCTCAACAATGAACGGAAACTCAAAGCTTATAAATAATAGGGTAGTGGACAATTTTTTGAAATATTTTTTTTATTAATCTCCGTAAAAAAATAAATAGTAGTTGATGATTCTTTGATTTTAGAAAACAAAAATGTACCAAAAAAAAAATTAACAAATTTGTACTTATTTTAAACGCTATAATTTACCGCCCGGAAATTACGTCATAGCTGTTATGCCTTATAGCGTCAAGGCATTCCGACATTAATGAGAGTGGGCGAGAGTGCGGTCAGTGCGTCCTTATATTTTATATGCTTCTAGAAAAAGATGCAGATAAGTTCAGTGCGCATTGATTGACAAATGGAAATCTCTCAAAAAGTGGGGTTAAGTTGCCCGACAGACGCTGATATATCTCTCTTTTTTGCACTAATGAGTAAGTGTGTGTCGAATATAGGACGAAGGTTTGATTCATTTCATACTCAAATACAGCAGCTATGACGTAGATTCAAGGCGCGAAATATTTTCGTTTAAATAGTGCGTCCCAAAACTGTACTTTTACAATCGTTTTGAACAAAGTTAGCAATTTTTTCTGAAATTTCTTTCAATAGGAATATTTGTCATTTACTCCATAGATGAACAATAGATCATCGATTTCATTGAAATTATACCTTGTCCACTACCCTATTCCCTACCTTCAAACATTATAACCAATAACAGCCACAACTCGGATGGTGACACCAACACAAAGCTCAAGTTTATAAATTCAGCTTAAGTGTTATACCTCGCGCCAAAGCATAATACTTATGTGCCGCTTTTACCTCGTAAACGTGAAACTTTATCATCAAATAATCAGTAGCAAAATATAAGTTTTTTGTTTGTTTTGTTATATTTTATATCGTAGTTACTTTTAAAACTTTTCGCACATCATAAACCCCAATGTATACTTTAGATTCGAGCACAAAAATATCGCTCATAGCACTTTTGCAAAAAAAAAAAAAAAATTATAGTACCTAAATATTACCTACTTTTCACCCGAGCTACCATAGATAAAAAAATAATATTAATAGACATGAATTTAATTCATCCATCAGCACATAAATTCCATCAAAATAAAATAAAGTTATGAAAAGCATTATTCAAAACTCCCTAACTAACCTTTCAGTTAACTCTGGGGAGCAACAATGTAAACCTAATTATTATGTAAAGCACCCGAGGTAAAATTTTTCGCCGTCGACGGGCTGCGCGACATCAAATATTTGGTAAGTTCTGTCTCGAAATTTTTAAAATCAACCGAATCCTGAATCGAGTTCGAATTCGGCGAATTAACTCGACTATTTAAATTTGTGCTGTTCGACATGGACGTCGGATTTGTTGCTAAACTTAGCGGTGATTTGTCGCGCATTTGTTCTTGGCATATGCTATCGCAAGTTTCTTTCATTTTAGTTAATTGCTTTTGTAGTACTCTGTATTCCTCTAAAAATTTTTCTAATTGAGCTGCATGATAATCGTAGGGATTTTGAGGCTCTTGTTGCGACTGTGGAGGTGATAAGCGACTCTCCAAACCCCTCACATCCAGCAATGGCGTGGAGTTTATATTTACAGGCTTATCATCTCTGGATAAATTTAGCAAACTACCACTTGGTTGCCTGCTGGTACTGTTTCGTGCTAAGGACGTCACTAAGGAATATTTTTGTGCTTCCACAGACAATCTTCTAGCAAAACTATCATTGCTACTATCACTTCCATACCTACTTTCAGGCAACAAAAGCGCTTGGCTGTCAGTACTTCTGTATCTAGTCAAATCTCTTTTTCTAGGCAAAGTACAAAATAACTCGTTAATGTTATTTAAACTTCCGTTTTCACTTTGAGCTCTGCTGCTCACACATTTTGTAAACGAGGAATTTCCGATGACGTCAGGCACTGCCTGACAAATTACACTGGCTGTCGTGTAGATCGTGTTAACGTTTGACTGATGGGATTTCCACGCCGATGCTGATGCTGTAGCTTGGATCGAGGCCGTTTCAACTGTGGGGGACTTATATGTACCAGACGTCAAACTGTAGGCCCTGCTGATATTGTCTCTAGAAAAAAATAAAATACTAAATATCGGATAAGAATTTTGAATAAATCAATAGTGTTATAAATATCTCAAGTCACACTGCCTCATGACTAGAAAATTTCGAAATGGAATTTGCGCAAAAGTCCAGCGAATTGTTGACGAACGAAAGCGGATTATCTAGACAATTCTAGAGACGACGATGCGCTATAAAATGGAGTCGGTTGCTAAATAATAATGTCACGATGGCGCCTTCGCCAAACAGTACAGAATCTAACTTGAAATCTAGAAAATACTGCTTTATTCGGGCAAAGAGATTATAGCGTTCATTCCGAATTTTACAAGAATGGATTACAGATAAATAAAGGCCGGTATTAGTTAGTAGTTTTCAGATTAGGATTGGCTGTGACACGTTTTAGATAGTGATTATTGTGGGAGTTGTAAAGAGTTAAGTTATTTGAGTTAATTAGTGAAGTAATTAGTGTAAGAGTGTGTAGTACCGATGAATAAATTATTGTTGTGTGTTAGTTGGACTTTGATTTTGGAATAAAAGAACCCAAGATTTCTGTCACGCACCAGAACCGTGACATTCGTGACAGAAGTAGGATATAATTCGGGGACTGCAAAGTGAAATCCGATTGCAGAATAGTGCGGACTACTTCGGACACTAAGTGAACACGGAGACAGTTAATCAGTGTAAGCAGTGACAATCACCAAAAGATACTTGACCGATTGTGTAAAAAACCCCGGAAGTGACTGAATACCCGATTTTGACTGTGATAGTGAATTTTCTAGAAGAGCTAGGCGACAAAAGGAAAAATAAGAAGAAACTAGACGACTGCAAGAAGAGGCTAAACGACAACAAGAAAAACAAGACGAAGAAGCCAGGCGACAAAAAGAAAAACAAGAAGAAGAACATAGGCGACAACAAGAAGAGCCTAGGCGCCAACAAGAACGGCAAGAAGACCTTCGAAAACTGCAGAAAATATTTCAAACCATACAAGGAACTGTCGCTAACCTAGCACAAAGAATTGAGGAAGTAAAATCCGTAGTTAAAGACGATGTTCAAGAAATTAAGGACGATGTGCAAGAAGTTAAAAACGACGTTAAGGAAGTAAAAACTGAGTTCATAGCCGATGTCCAGCAATTAAGACAAGAAGTTGAGGACCAAGTTCAAGCACTTGAAGATAAGATGAATAAATTAGAGATACAGTGCATCAATCCAGGTAGTGTTGCTGCATCAATCTCTAGTATGAAGATTAAAACACCAACTTTTGACGGTTCTACGTCCTGGATCATGTATATCCGACAATTTGAAGCCGCTGCAAATACCAACGTATGGAACGATCAAGAAAAATCTACAGCACTGATAGTGGCTCTACGAGGACCTGTCTTAGACCTCCTTCCCGGCGAGAGTTTACAAGAATTCGAATCGGAAGTTTAAAGATTAGTGAGTTTGACATTTCCTGCAGCTGGGGAAGAGATGCAGGAATGGATGGCTATATCTGCGTTTATTGATGGTCTCAGAGATTCCAGGATCCAGGAAAACCTGAGAATGTCTAAGTTCAAACAAAGTAGCGAAGCCCTTGTCCGAGTATTGGAACTGGAAGCAATCTTTGGTGTCTTACGATCCAGAATACGAGCAGTATCCATTGAAGACCCAAAGGACACACAATCGACAAAAGAAGATGGTAGCTTCGAGAATGTTATGAGTAAGTTCATGGAGAAAATAGGGAAACCATTACTAGAAGGTAAACAAACAGGAAACGACTCCAGACGAACACCGATAAACTGAGTAGAATGTTACCGGTGCCATAATCTTGGATATATGCAATGGGATTATAGAGTAGGGATGTCCCCTCCATCTAGGGATCGGATCGTTTCCAATGCTTTTCATGATCTAGAGACGCTAACCCTAATAACACATAGGAACCAACCAGTATGGAGGGGCGAATGCTGGTTAGTAATGACGAAGCCCCCAGGGTTGTTTATATAAAATCATTGGACAGTCATTATAATGGATTAAAATGCGAAGGACAAATTAATGGAGAATTTAGAATCATCACTTTGGATACGGGTGCTGAAGTTTGTATAATTAGAGGAACATTAATCAAGTCTCGGGCAATCCAACTGCTCACTAGAAGCCTGTCACTATGAACAGTCATGGGCGAATCGGCACCAGTTCAAGGAGAAGCTATGGTTGAGCTTACTTTGGGATCTACCACCTTCAGGCACAGAACACTAGTCGCCGATATGGAGGATGATTTTATTTTCGGAATGGATTTGATCGGCCAACATGGTTTCTCTTTAGATCCTTCTATGAACATCCTTAAATTTGGTAATGAAGAATTTGTCCTAGCTACAGAAGAAGAATCTCAAGCCGTTGATATCCTGGTAAAGATTCCTGGGAGAACTAAGAAAATCATTTGCAAAAAATTAGACAAAACAAAAAACAAACCCTGGGTGCTGCATTGGACTAACACATAATGTCGAACAAAAGTTTAATTTACAAGGCGTTGTGGGCTCAGTGGAACTCTCTGGCCGTAGAAAATGGCTTACTGAAAAGAATTTGGGAAAGTGCCGATGGAAAATCTTCTAAAAACCAACTGGTTATTCCAAAAGATCGAGTAGGAGATGTATTAAAAGAAATACATGACGGAACTTCAGGGGCACATTCTAGAGTTAACAAGAATTCGGGAACGTTTTTACTGGGTTCACTATGATGAAGACGTTAAAAACTGGTGTCGAAAATGCGACATCGGGTAAACTATACAGTTATTGGCCAATACATAGTGATTGGCAGAGTAATAGTTTTTCGTCTTTTTTAATATTTTGTCGGAAATTAAAACTGCTACGACTGATCAGGATGCTAGTGGTAACCCTACCTAATCAGTGACTACCTTCAGTCTTATGATATTTCATAACCTCTGAATGTTTTCGACATTTGTGTAGGTCGTGTCGCGTTCATCAGCCGTTTCAGCAAAAAAAATACCAAATTCTGTTAAAACAAGTGTGTTGTAAGTGACGAATATAACCCAGGTATGTCGCTTTCCATGTTAATAGTAACTTATTTGTGGTTTAGTAGGTATAAATTGAATATTTAAAACGTTGGAGCCACGACTACATGATTTTTTATCAATATTTCATCTATGCCAATCAATGTACAAAATTTTATCTCAAAAATCAGTAATTGGCCATGTGGCCAATATCTATCAAAGTCTATTTTTGTCACATTACAGTGATTGGCCATGATTTGCAAATTCAAATTTAACAGATTTTTCTTTATACTACAGATGCCGAAGGCACAAGAAGGTTCAAAGTATAAAAAAAGTACACTGAGGATAACTTGTTGACAGCACTGCGAGCAATCGAGAATGGAATGTCCCAAAGAAAACCGGTGGGAACATTTAATGTTCTACGTCAAACCTTGCAATTTAGAGAAGCGAAAAATCTGCTAACAAAACTACTCTAGGCCCAAGTACTATTCTCACAAAGGAAGAAAAAAAACATTTTGGAGGAATCAATATTGATAAATTATAAAAAAAGGTTTCCACTTAGAAAGTTTGATATTCAGGCCTCTGTAAAGGAGTTCCTAGATGCCAACCCATGCGAGAATCCATTCCAAGAAAATCAACCTGGAATGGTACAGAGAGTTTCTCAAACGTAATCCAAAGCTAACTCACAGAACACCAGAGGCCTTAACTGCAGCAAGCTCCACAGTTTCGGAACAAGACATACATAAATGGTTTTTGATGATTGGAGACTATTTGAAAAGCAAAGCCTTCATTACATTTTGGAAGATCCCACTAGGGTATTCAATGGGGATAAAACTTGTTTCTACTTGTGTCAAAAAAATTTCAAAGTTGTAGCTCCACGAGGTGCAAGAAATGTATATGAAGTAGATTCTGGTCAGGCAGAAATGAATATAACGAATAATGAATATGTTCACCTTTTCTGCGGCTGATCAAGTAACTAATCCCATGCTAATTTATCCCTACAAAAGGCTACCTACTTCTATAGTAAAGTCAGTACCAACCACTTGGGGTATAGGTCACAGTGATAACGGCTGGATGAAGGTAGAATTATTCTATGAATACATTGGAAATTTATTATATCGTTAAAAAAAAATGGAACTACATTTCCTATCATATACCATGTTTATGCTTCCCGTTAAACCGTTTTAACAGAAAACGTTCGACTATAAAACGCTTGTATAGACACCGCATAAACCGTTTTATCTCGTTAAACCGTTTTGATTTAAACGTTATGAAAACGTGTTTTAACCAATTTGAAAACGGTTTAAATACTGCGTAAACATCTCAAACCGTTTTAAGGGAGTGCCAGCACTGTTTGTTATGAAATTTGAAAACTGTTTTGGGGAAAGCCCCATGGGAGTATAAACACAGGATAAAACGTTTTAAGTTCGAAACCGGTTTAGCGGTTAGAACGGTTTAACGGAAGCATAAACTTGGTAATAGGTACTTTTTATCGACGGTCACTCGACGCATCAGACACTAAAACTAAGCCAGCTTTGTACCAAATTGGAAAATATTTTGATTTCACTCTATCCAAATGCAACAAGGATTATGCAACCAGCTGATATGGCAGCTTTTAAGCCACTAAAAACAGGATGGAAAAAGGCAGTTCTAGAGTTCAGGAGAAAAAATCCTCAAACAAACTTAACTAAAGAAAAATTTGCTCCCGTACTCAAAAGAGTCGTAGACGAATATGCTAAGCCTGACACAATTGAAAACTGATTTCGGGCTAGTGGTTTATTGCCACGGAATGCATCAGCTATTGATTACACCAAGTGCCTGGGTATAAAAAAACCTTCAGATACTATTGAAACCAATCGAGAAGAAAACGATGTTGAAGACGCGACCATTTCTTTTGCACAGCTTAGTAATATGGTTGGTGATGAGAGAATTGACCTTTTTAAAAAAATAAAAAAAATTTAATGATGCCAGCAATGATGAGTTTATTTTATTATACTATGTACTTGTACAAGATATATAAACAGTTTAGAAAAAATGAAAATAGAGTATTAGAAAACTCCGATAAAGCAACAGCTGAAGCTCCTCAATTAAATGTAGGCGTACATGAGGCATTATTTGTGATATTCCTGTCAGTGATCAGCTTTCAGAGGCTGATCTTACAGTGGTAGAAATTTTAGGATTCGGAGAAATTTTTGTAGTAAATAAAGAAACGGACAAAACAAATGCCATTGAAGTGCTTAATGAAAAACTGATGAAATAAATGCCAATGAAGACCAGAAATCCACTGAAAAAAAAAATCCACAGAAACAGGTTCTATGAATCCAGACATATACTCACTAGATTACTTTCTCATGCAAAAATTACCCGAAGTTGTGCAAAAGAAAACAGATGTCTTGAGCAATAGCGAAAACCGATGCGAGAACAATGAAAAATCAATAGAAAACACAAATAAAGAACACAAAGAGAATACTAGCCTACAAGATTAGCTATATAGTCGGGCCTAAGACTCCAGAGAGGAAAGGAAAGAAAAATAGTAGGTACTCGTTTACCTTTTGTATTAACTAGTTCGGGCTGGAAAAAAATGCAAATGGACAAATTAGAGTCAAAAAAGCAAGAAGAAGACAAAAAGGAAGCTCGAAAAATTGGGAGATTAAAAAAAAAAACTAAAGTTGAGAAAAAAAGGAACGGAAAAAATAGCAATAAACAAAAAACTGAGTCTAAACTAACAAATTTCCACAAGAAAGGTAAAATTGAGACAAAAAATTATAAAAACACGGGAGTTTTGCAAGATTTAGAGGTTCCAAATGATCTAAAAATTAGCAATTTTTCTGAAAATCAGCAAGGTCCTAGTGGAATAGGACAAATATCCGAAGCACGTGTTGTTACAAATGAAGAAGTTTTGCAAGCTAGAGGGGTTTTAAATGATCTACAAACTGATAATTTTTCATAAAATCTGCAAGGTCCCAGCGCAGTAGGACAAATTTCCAAACCACATGTTGTTAGAAGGGTATTTAATGACGAAGAAAGCGATGACGAAGTATAGCCTACTGAATTTCAACTAAACCAATCTGCTACAGGGAAACTCTGCTTTTCACGTACCATCGTCACCAAAAGTAACTGGGACAGCAACATATAAGCTCTTCTACTATTATATGATTTTAAGTGTCAAATATTTGTCAAACTATGAATAAAATGAATGATGGTAGAAATAGTCTAGGAGATTATTATCAATTATTTTTGTCCCAGATACTTTTGGTGACGATGGTACTTGCAACATTATTCAATCTATAAAGGGTGTTCGTTGTAATAGTTGCACCAGAATCTATCTCAACAAATGTATTATTAAAATGGATGCAAATGTAGATGTGTTAAAAATGTTTATTGCAAAACTTGTACCTCGAAAAAACTGCTAATAAAATAACTTTCTATTTGTGGGTAATGATTTTCAAAATTGTTAAGAACAAAAATCAAATAAAAAATTAATAAACTGAAGCTTTGATTTTATATCCCGATGAGTAGGTACTAGGTACCTAAAGTCCGTCGATTTTAATTTGATACTCGGAAGGAATGTGAGCTGGTGGCACCTTACATAAGAACGCCAATGGTCACCTGACGTCACACCTGTTTTTGCCATATACTTCACCCCCTCACTTCTCATACCGCAAGTATCAGATAAAAATCGACGAACAATACCTACAAACCTTATCTCTTTTGTTTCTGTTTCACTCACCTATGCCAATCACTCGTAGCTTGTGGCTAATAATACAAATATAGTGGCCAACTATAAAATTTACAACTTCACATAATTTTGATTTTAGGACAATAAATATTTCCCATAAAATAGTAACTATAGTTGAAAATGCTATAAAGCATCCTAAGAAACCAGAGAATAAACAAAAAAATAATAATCAGGAAACATTTAATTGGCTTTTAGGAACAAAAAAATCAAATTTGCCCCTAAGTGGCCAATCACTGTATAGTTTACCCTCTTTGCCAGTAAAGGCTCTAAACTAAGATCTCGGGGGCCATGAAACAGTACAACGTCGGTCTCCCATTTGAACGAATAGCGATGGATGTTGCCAGACCATTGCCTGAATCAGAGCGTGGTAACAAATACATCTTGGATTACTTCAGTGAATGGCCAGAAGTTTTCGCTATTCCCAATCAAGAAGCCATTACTATTGCCCAGGGGCTAGTGGACGAGGGTTTCAGTCGTCATGGTGTGCCACTAGAGTTGCATTCAGATCAGGGACGAAACTTCGAATCTGCCATCTTCAAGAAAATTTGAGATCATGCGTTTTCGTAAGACAAGGACAACACCTTTACATCCACAGTCTGATGGCATGGTAGAACGATTTAACAAGACCATAGAGGAATACCTGACAAAAATGGTAGCAAAGAACCAGCGAGACTGGGACAAACACAGAGTACCTGTTCACGAGTCAACAGGTGAAAGTACAGCTAGAATCGTTTTTGGAAGGGAACTCGTTACCTTGCGATCTGATGTTTGGAATTCCTGAAGAAGAACCAAAAGAAATTCGAGATTATGCCGACGAAGTAAGGGCACGACTTCTGGGGATACAAAATTTAGCTCGGGAGCATATTCAGCGATCAAGTGACCGAATGAAGACCAGATACGACTCGAAAGCCAATTCAGCCGGATTTCAAGAAGGTGATTTGGTGTAGCTGTATAATCCAACTAAACAAGAAAGAAAGGAGTGTCGCCAAAATTGTCTTCAGCATGGGAAGGACCCTACAGAATAATCAAGAGGATCAATGATTTGGTTTATCGAGTTCACCGCAACACCCGGAGTAAGATGAAAGTTGTACATACATCTGGATAGATTGATGAAATATCATGGGCGTGAAGTTGATCGGAACGATCAACCTTAAGGGGAGGGCAGTGTCACAGTGTCGCCTTCGCCGAACAATACAGACTCTAACTTCAAATCTAGAAAATACTGCTTTATTCGGACAAAGAGATTATCGCGTTTATTCTGGATTTTACCAGAATGGACTACAGATATATAAAGGCTGGTATTAATTAGTAGTTTTTAGTTTAAGATTGGCTGTGATACGATTTAGATAGTGAATTTTATAAGAGTTGTAAAGTGTTAAGTTGTTTGAGTTAATTAGTGAAGTAATTATTGTAAGAGTGTGAAGTAACGTGGAATAAATTATTGTTGTGTTAATAATTGGACTTTGATTTTAAAATAGACGAACTCAAGATTTCTGTCACGCGCCCCAGAGCCGCGACAATAATCTGATCATCCGTAAGTACAATTTCGGTGTTATTGTCTTGAATAAAGGTAAATTATTTTGGAATCGTAGTCCTTATCTACGAAGCCATTTTTACGTAAAAATTTATGGGATTTCCGTCTATGGTAAATCGAGACAAAATGACAGATCGCCAAAATGACAGATCAAATAAACTACAAGAACAAGACAACATGCGACTGAAAGTTAAAGAGGAAGAACGGAAATAAAGGAAGCGAAATATTGAAAGGATCGCCGGACTGCTCTAAACAATTCAAAAAGAAGAAGAAGGACAAGTTAGATTCGGCTGGAAGGATGCTGGAGCTCGGCAGATTTAAGTTGAAAACCCTTATACCCTGGACACTGTAGGCTAAAACATCACATGCATAGGGTTGGAATGGCAGCTGATGCTGAGTGCAGGAGGACAAGGAGACAGCTGCGCACATTCTTTGCGAATGTCCGGCAGGTTGCAGACTGAGGCATCGTATCTTAGGTAGGGCAACGTTCCCACTGGGAAACCTCAACAACATCTCTCCAAACACTAGCCTGAACTTCATTGGAAATATAGGCCTGATTAGAGAAATATAAAAAGGCATGAGCCACAATAGACCATTATGAGTCACCCAATAGGCCCACTCATCTTAGACCTAACCTTACCTAACTTAGATAAGAAATAGGAAAGGTCAAATACGAAAGGAGAACGGTCAGACGAAATAGGAACGGTCTGTGTGGGTTTCGAAATATAGATAACTGGAGAAGAAAATAGAGAGAGGAGAGCGGTGACGAAATGGATTTGTCGATGAGCTCTTTTGTACGCGGCCAACTCAAACTACCAACATTTGATAGTTAAACATCCTGGGCTATGTATAAACGACAGTTTGAGGCCGCTGCTAGTGCAAATGGACAGCAGAAGGCAACAGCCTTGGTACTAGCATAACTGGGGGTGAATCAGAGCAGGCTGAAGAGCAAAGTACAACGTCTATCGGAGATCCTGCCCGAATTTGTTGGTCAGGTTGGCATATTTGACAATATTTTTTCGATTATTCGGTTATTCTAACATATTAACTCCCGAATAGAGCTCAGAAAAAAAAAAAAACAGTTTTTAGTTTGGCGAACTTAATACTCCTGTTATCTTTTTGTTACCTACTATTTGACAAAACGACTTAAAATTTGGACCAGCTGAGTTGTTGCCCATGCTCTCCTTCAAGAGCTCCGGATCACGAAAAGGTATCAAATATTGTCAAGATCGCCTGAAAGACTGATTTGAAATGATCCCAGTTAAACCAAAAATGCCTGATTTAACTTTGGTACATCCATTTAATGCAAAATTATTAAAGTCTGTTACATTTGACAATTCGATAGATTGTTAATGATTACCACATAGTGATAGGTATTTGAGAAGAAACATCCTTTGGAACAAAAATTGGAAATTGCAGGTAAAAATACCTATCTATCACATAAAATACAAAAACATTACCTAGCTTCTACTCCAGCTGCTCCTCTACACGTTTCTGGTTTCGTTTCAATTTTCAAATCTCGATCTGAAGTTTCTTCGTTGGTCCACTTCTTATCGTTCGACGTTCCTGGAGTGGTAATTTCCAAAGTACTTTCCTCCTCTTCCTCGTGATCAGTATCAGTACCAGGCACTACACTATAGTCACCATTTTTCTTCGTTATTGTCACTAACGCACTTTCTTCTCTATCTCTAGTCACGCCACCGTTTAAGTTTCTATGGCACGTTTTCTGTTTCATTTCGATTTTTTCGTAGTTATCCTCGCGTCGGCACTCAGATGGATTATGCCACTTTAACAAACGTCTTTTTCGTGCACTTACAAGACAAGCCGCTAGGAGGCAGCACAACATTGTAAACGCTATACCGATAAGAACGCTGAGTACCAAAGCTTTTTGAGAAATTCGACCGTCCGTATTTTTCTTGGAGACTACAAGGTTTACTACAGCTTCAGCTCTGCCAGCTTTATTTTCAGCTGCGCACGTATAAGTGCCAGCGTCTTGCATTTCTGCAGTTGGTATTAAAAGCTCACTAGAATTGGTGTTTTGGTAAACTATGTAAATTTTTTTCTGGTTTGCTTGAGCTGGACCTGTCAAGTTAACTATAGCTTTGTTTCTTTGCAGCCATCTAACATGTGGCGTTGGAATACCATCGATGTTACATGATAGAGTTATATTGTTGCCTTCAATACCTCTAGCTTTGACTTTGGTGGCTTCAATTTTTGGTGGACAAGCAAACTCATCAAGATCCAAAATTCTCCAGGATTTTTTAGAAAGTCTTTCAGGATTTTCGCACGTTGGAGGAATATCATATGGCACGTTTTGCCTTATCATCCATTCTCTCAAATTTCTAATTTTGCAAGTGCAATTCCAAGGATTTCCAGCCAACTCTAACCCATGAAGATTACGTAAAATAGTGAATACTGATGATTCTACTCCAGAAAGATTATTATTATCAAGTTTGAGCCATTCCAAAGTGTCTTGTAGGTCTAAAAAAGAGTTTATGTCTATGGTAGAAATTCTACAGTTGGAAAGCTCTAGTTTTATTAGTTGACGTGTATTGGTAAATGCACCATGATATATTGTTTGAATAGGATTTCCATTAAGTCTTAACTCTCTGAGCTCAGGAATTGTTTCGAAACTATTCGAAGGTATTGTGTTGAGGTTATTGTTACTTAAATCAAGCTCTACTAGGTTAATCAAATTTTCGAATGCAAATTTCTCAATGGATTTCAAACGGCATTTAGCTAAAAATATTTTTTGCAAGTTTAGTAAACCGGCCTTGCTGAATTCCTGATTTTTCAGGCTCACAATGTAGTTATCGGTTAAGTCCAAGATTTGCGTTCCGCTATCCAAGTTTGGCGGTACCAAAGTCAGATTAGCATTATGACAGATCACTGATTCTTTTCCACCTTTCCATTTGCATTCACATGTTCTGGGACATTCAGCCATAGAAGTTGTTGTTACCATGCTTACGATTAGAATAAAGAAGTAGTACAAGGTAATATATGGCATCGTAGCAAGTCTAGGAAGGTTAGCGGTAGAGTGGTTTGTGATCGCTTTCGTCTTCATCTGCCTCCATTTTGGAATCAGATTGGACGGTTTCTATGTGCTGTATCTGAAAAAAAAAAAATACGATTACTTATATGTACCTATGTTCATTTTGTAAATTATTGTTAATAAATAGTGGGATCAAACTTGTAGGATAAATAGTAGTCATTAAAATAGGAAAAAAGCTAATAGAAACATGGGTCGGCAAATGCTTACTTCTCGAGATACAGGGTGTAAAAGTTTGAAAAAGAAATCGGTTTTAAGCTCAAAAATCCCTTTTCTAATATATAGAAAACCCCGTTTCAAATCTAATTAATGTTTCTAATTCTATTTTAAGCGCTTTTATTGTGTAACAAGGGGTAGGGGTAGTATTTCATTGTCAGTAGAAACGAAATTAGCTTCTCGCACTAAAAGAGGGCTGAATTTATAAAATATGCAAATGCAAATCCCCAAATCAGTCCAAGCCTTATAAGATAAGGAATGACGTTAAACTCACATAATATCTCTTTATTTTTAGAAATATAGGTAGATTATAGCTTTATTTTTTTGTTTTAGTTGTTAAGCTGCTGCTTGAGCCACAACTATAGTTATTGCGAACGATAGCTGTTCATGGATCGGAGATCATTGCAGGGTATACGGTGACGGACTTAGCTTGGTTTTCTAAGTAATGAGCGCCACCAACTTTTTTGGATAGCTTAACAAGGTTGGGAAAAATCAAAAAGCCTTCAATTGTTGATTACCTACTCTCCTGGAATGTCTTAGACCTTTACCAAGAAAAGAAACCATACAATAAAAAATTCACCTAATATCATCAGGTCACCTAATTCAAGTAATTTGCTTTCAATATTTACAAATCAAATGTTTGTTAGGTTCAAAATGATTGTGGGTAAACTTTTTTATGGGGGCGCTACTGAATTTGTGAAAAAAAAAAAAAACTAAATAACATCTAATATTGAAGTGTGAAAATTCAGAAACACACCTAAAAAAAATAATCAGCAAACGCGGTAATAGATAATTCTGGAAAGGAAATAAATAAGGCGTAACACTCAACCAAACCTTGACATAGGAAAAGCCAATAAAACACTCAAGCAATTTCAAATAAAAATAGTATATTATATTTTCACAGTGAGGTTAAAAATCAAGTATTTGTTGGTAAAACACTTTGAGTAAAATCAATAAATAGAGTTTAACTCTCAATCAGATTCATCAAATTAAAAATAAATATGTATTACAATATAGTTGCCATATAAGTTGATTAACAGTCCCTGGCCATATAATTATGATGAAATGAAAATACCAAATATTCAATTTTTCAGAAAACTAATTAAAAAAATAAATAAAATTAGTGATTGAAAAATTTATTGATAAATATGGTCAGCTTCTGCTTAAAAAATAAATTCAATAAAATCAACTTACACCTACTGTATGAAATCAAACGTTGAGAAACCCTCAAATATATAAGTTATACTTAGGACCCAGGTTAAAAATTGATCAATTTTCGACGATGTGCTTACTCAATAATTTTGAATTTGGAGCATGTTGTCCAACCTTGATTTCAGTTCAGATTATTGATTATGAATAATAACATTTACATTCCTAAAACAAGGCAGTATTAAAAGTTAGGTAAAAATAAATCTATAATAAATTCGATAAATCGAAAATCCAGAAATTCAATTATTCCACCATCACCTCGGTGTCAAGAATGTGAAAATAAAATTTTGATTATTTGAATGTAATGTCAGTAAAATTTTTGAAGAAAGAAGGAGGATTTTGTATTTCGTGCAATTTATTAAATCAATTCAGTGCAGAGCGCTTTCGGCCTAGGCCACCATCAGTGCAACCTGCAAGTACGAGAAAAACTTTCTTCATCTCATTTTTGTAACTAAGTATAATATTTTAATTATTGAAAAATCTGTAAAAAGAAAACTGGAAAGTTAGAAAGTTGCTCTATTTATTTCGTTAGGTGAAAATACAGGAGTTCACAGTTGGAGTTGAAACAACATACATTGAAAACGGAGTACATGGACATTGGAACACTTTAAAATTCCTTAATATATTATTATCACAAATTATTTATATCACATTATGTGTATTTTGTCTTTGGTTAGTTAGATGATTTTTCTTTTCTCTTTTCTCTTGGATGACTTGCGAATTAAACGGTTTTGTTTTTAAAAAAGACACATGACTGATGGTTGTTGGTTTACCCAGCTGGCATTTGCTAGTGATACACCGAGTCTCAAAAACGGAAGCTGTCAGTATTGTGGGTAACCTACTAAGGTCGAGAGGTGAAGCTGAACCACAAGTGGTTAACGTACTATCCCTACTGAATCACTGCCTTTCTCAAAACTTTTTTCCATTTAACGGAACCTACTAGCAACAACCCGATGGGCTGGCCATGGGAAATTGCTTATCACCTTTTCTGGAAGACATTTTTATGGATTTTCTCGAAAATAATCATGTTATCACTAACACCAATAACGAGATACTTCACTGGTTTAGATACGTTGACGATTGTTTGTGTTTTTTGGATTGCAACCAAGATCAAGCTGAACATCTGCTTCAAAAAATCAATCAACTACATCCACATCCAAACATTTCGTTCACTTTGGAAATTGAGAATAACAATAAAATTAATTTCTTGGATATCTCCATTCTAAGAGATCTCACAAAGCAACGATCTATAGAAAACCTACACAGACTGATCATGCTATTCCTGATCACTCCAATTACCCACAACAACATAAATTTGCAGCTTCCCATTGTTACGTTAACAGACTCCTCAACATTCTCCTTTCAAAGGAAGATTATAACAATGAAATTCTTTTAGTTAATTTATCATAACAACAAATTGACAGACACCAACCTGTGAGACTCGGTGGATCACTAGCAATTGCCAGCTAGGTAAACCAACAATCATCAGTCATGTGTCTTTTTTGAAAACAAAACCGTTGAATTCGCAAGTCATCCAAGAGAAAAAAGAAAAGAAAAATCATCTTACCAATTAAAGACAAATCTTGCATAATGTGATATTTAAATAATTTGTGATAATAATGTATTTAAGGATTTTTGAAGTGCTGTAATGTCCATGTACTACGTTTTCAATGTATGTTGTTTTTACTGCAACTGTGAACTCCTGTATTTTTACCTGGCAAAGTAAGTATAGCAACTCTCTAACTTTCTAGTTTTCGTTACAGATTTTTCAATAATTAAAATATTATTCCTAGAGTTACAAAAATACGATGAAGAAAGTTTTTCTCTCACTTGCAGGTTGCACTGATGATGGCCTAGGCCGAAAGCGCTCTGCACTGAATTGATTTAATAAATTGCACGAAATACAAAACCCTCCTTCTTTCTTCTACGTTTCCTAACGTGCACACAACCTTACACTTCATTAGTAAACATTTTATCAATTATTGTTAATTGATCATAAATAAGATAGGTAATGGAGAAAAAAAATATTGAAAGGTATTAATGAAACTTTATACAAGCCTCCATTCCAACAAAAGGTGGATAGCCATTCAGCCATCTTTTTTTTGTCACTTGACGTGGGCAGTTGCAAATGGAAGTTGCAGACTCTAGCCTGGAATCAAGGTAGATAGAGGCTATAAGTTCAGTTTTTTTCGTCAAATGTGGAGGTACAGGTGTAACGTTTTCAATTTCTTGGCTAATAAGCTACCTTGTTTTGCTTTAGTAGATATGATTCCATATAGAGCTACAATGAAATAAATGAATAAACAACTATCTTTTTTGTGCCCAGATTTTGTTACCTTGAGTGCTGCCTTCTACTAGAAGTTTTTTTTTTTGGTTCAGGTTTGCAAGTTTGGTTAATTGATCTAGGAAGGTTTGATTCAGTACGGCAGGGCCCGCTGTTATTGATTAGAATCTTAGGAAAAGGAGGTAGTACCATCATCATCTCTGTTTGCAAATCCAATCAATAATCTGAGGTTATGATAAATTGTTGTTTACTCTTTGACTTTTCATTTCCATCATGTCATTGAACAGCTGTTTTGTCTAGGCGTTTTCTTTAGACCTGTTCTACCTTTTGATATATGTTCTATAGGCACTTTTCAACATTCACCAGTCATTTTTTACACAACCGATTCTCAGTTCGTACTTTTGGGGTGAAACTGAACACGTCCTTTTCTATAATTTTCTTCAATGTCAAAATTAGAAGTTTGACAGATGAAAGTCTTCTTCCGAAATCTAAATGAAGAATCTGCCCCTTTTGATCTGCGACCTCACGCTGAGTAGTCGTCCGGTCTCGGGCCTCGGCCCTAATTATTTTTGGGGCAAGACTTTTTGGAATTTTGTGCCAGGGAGCTCAAGTTTTAGACTAATTTCTTGCTGATAATTGTCTAGAGTCGTCCCTTGGTCATATTTGGATTCTGTTTCGGTAAGTTTGAGATTTTCTTCAGGAAATATTAACCTACAACACGTGTTCCATTTTTTTTAATAGGACTGTTCTGAGCAGCATTTGGAAGTTCAAGACTTCACCTTTGGTCTAGAGTATCCCTCAATTTGAGGTAAGATTATTTCTAATATTTGGGGCTCGATTTGTTTTTTTTATACGAACATCGTTATAGGGTCCTACTCTCAGGCTATAGTTGGACAATCCTACTCTTAGGCTATAGTTGGACAATCCTAGTCTTAGGCTATAGTTGGACAGCTTCTAGAAAGAGATTCTAGACTAGATCTAGATTGCTCTTAGTTGGCTTTGGTAGCCTCCCTTCAGCAACCCTCTTGGTACCGCTCTGCTAGAACCACATTGAGTTCTACGTAAAGCAGATACCACGTGGATAGGACTCATGACTATGACTCACTTACCATACCATAGTCTATCTACAGTGAGACCGAACCTCTCCCTTCAAAACTTCTGGATTTACACACACCTTTGAAGATAATCAACACTTGTACACATG